CCATTAAGATATTTTTAATACCCTCGAAGACTGATCTAATTGAATTACACATGAATAGAATTAATGTATAATCTTGTACCATCCCTTTGTTAACCCCTATATTTACAACCTGCTCAAGCTGCCACATAGGTAGCAGTATACCCGTTAATTAATAAATATACACTTTTTACTTTTTTTACTGAAAAAAAAAAAAAATTGTTACCTACCTGACGCCTAGGTTTCAACTTCAAAGGTCTGTAACTTTTTTTCTAATGCACGGATTTTGAAGATCTTAGTCTTGTTTTGTAGGTTATATCATTTTCTACTATTAAGTAAAATTCAAAGCCATTTGATATCAGTTAAAGAAAATGACGCGCCAAACTGTAAAAAAGTCAAATGTTACAGTTTTGCACTCTGGTTATTTTTTCAAGAAATATTTTTTATTAATGATTTTTTAAAAGTGAATTCACATCCCTTGGGATTTTTTAGCTCTTCTATGCGTCTGGGCATATTTTGGGTATACCGTCGTACCATTTCCGGGGGAATATCATTCCATACGCCCTGTTGCCGCTCTCACAACTCCTTCATTCCACTTGGAGGAACTGCATATTTCTCCAGCTGCGATTTCACATGACTCCACAAGTTTTCTGTTGGATTCATGTCGGGAGATTAGTGGTGGCCACTTCATAGATTGAAATTTCTGTTTTGAAATCCCATTTTTGCCAATATGGACGTGTGCTTGGGGTCGTTGTCTTGCTGAAAAACGCATTTTCCGGCAGAAAGACCCAATTTTCCAAAACTCCTTTGGAAGATTTTCTTGTAAAATGGATAGATATTGCACCTTTCGCAACATTCCATCGATTTACAACAAGGAACCAACTCCATTTAAATTAATGCACCCCCAAACCATGATGGAACCGCCACCGTGCTTGATAGCGAATTGGGATACTGTAAGTCATTGCTACCAGTGTCTTAAAAAGCAAACAATTCCAAAATACTTTTGTTTTCAAGGTTATATGGTCGGATGAAACAAAAATTAATCGCTTCGAGTCAGATGGGCGCTCTTGGTATTGGACTAGAGATCCCACGATCCAGTCACCAAGGAATGAGTGACAAACCGCTAGCGGTTCCATGGTTTGGGGGAGCATTCATTTAAATGGAGTTGGCTCCTTGTTGTAAATCGATGGAATATTGCGAAAGGTGCAATATCTATCCATTTTACAAGAAAATCTTCCAAAGGAGTTTTGGAAAATTGGGTCTTTCTGCCGGAAAATGCGTTTTTCAGCAAGACAACGACCCCAAGCACACGTCCATATTGGCAAAAAATGGGATTTCAAAACAGAAATTTCAATCTATGAAGTGGCCACCACAATCTCCCGACATGAATCCAACAGAAAACTTGTGGAGTCATGTGAAATCGCAGCTGGAGAAATATGCAGTTCCTCCAAGTGGAATGAAGGAGTTGTGAGAGCGGCAACAGGGCGTATGGAATGATATTCCCCGGAAATGGTACGACGGTATACCCAAAATATGCCCAGACGCATAGAAGAGCTAAAAAATTCCAAGGGGATGTGAACTCACTTTTAAAAAATCATTAATAAAAATATTTCTTAAAAAAATAACCAGAGTGCAAAACTGTAACATTTGACTTTTTTTACAGTTTGGCGCGTCATTTTCTTTAACTGATATCAAATGGCTTTGAATTTTACTTAATAGTAGAAAATGATATAACCTACAAAACAAGACTAAGATCTTCAAAATCCGTGCATTAGAAAAAAAGTTACAGACCTTTGAAGTTGAAACAATGAAATCGTGTTACAGTTTTGCTCGTTAGTGTATATAAATGTATACAGTGTCCGATAACTACTTAAAGGGTTTATTAAAATGACAGGGCCCCATCAAAAAAATTTGCCAAAGGCCCCAGAGGGTATAGTTCCGCCACTGCTTACTTTCTTCTCTGGGTCACTACATTTGGCGCATGTATGGCGAAATGTATTTGCCATTAAAGTTTTTGGTAATAAGAATACATATAACTTAGATAATAACTTAGTACTTCCCTGCAGTGAATGCGTCACGAACCTTGGTTTAAAAATTTTACTCGATGACGTCGTTCGTATGTCCTGGTGATTTTAGGGAAAACTTCATCTGAATCCAATCATCATTAACTAAAAAAGCAGGCTTGATGCGATCAACTGACACTGCAGTCTCATGACCATTGATTTGTATGATAAAAACTCGATCGCTTTCGCGCCTGATAATTTCATACGGATCAGTGTAAGGGTTTTGTAAAGGCTGCTTGACGGCGTCAGTGCGAAGAAATACATGGGTACAATTATTGATCCCTTTCAACAAGAACAGTTTCTGCTTGCTATGATGTGCTGTCGGTGTTCCATAAACCATTTCGGCCGCGGAAGACTTGATCTCCTCCTTGAAACAGGTACAAAGTCCAAGCATCACGGTTGGCAGTAGCTGCGGCCTCGGAGTATCGCTGTTGCAATTTAAAGATGACTTGAAGGATCTGTGCCACCTCTCTATGAGTCCATTTGACTGGGGATGGTAGGCCGTTGTCTCCCCGGACCCGCACACCCCCTCGTCCACGTTACTATGGACCCAACAATAGAATTTTCGTCACTCCTAGATGGCGCCAGGTGGCAACCCCACCGCTAGGATAAGTCGCTACTGGCTTATCACCGGTACGATCGAAAATCAATGATAATGAATCCTCTACAAGAAATTGTAGAGGCTCTAAGCTCCCGGGTGGAGTAAAAGAATGTAAATAAATTTAGGCCGTTGTGTGTATGTGTTAGCTTCCAACCAGATTGGCAAGATGTTTGAAAACTGCCGATTCAAATTGTGTTTCTAGGTGTGCCGTTATTGTTTTTGGTGAGCCAAATCTAGACATCCAGTGGGTCCAAAACGCAGTAGCAATTGTTTCTGCAGTAACATTTGAAAGAGGTACAGGTCAGGTATTCTGACCACCGAGTAAACCTATCAATCATCGTTAGACAGTACCGATAGTTTTGTTGATGGACGTGATCAAGTCTTCCGTTAGGTCTCTCAGTCTTCTCCGGCGATAGGTGGATGTGCTTATGGTTTTTTTAACGCTGGCATGGTAAACAAACTCTGCACCATTTAAGGACATCTTTGTTCATCGATGGCCATACGAACTACTGGCGCACCTGGCGGACTGTTGATCGACCACTGTGATGAGATAGACTGTGCATGGATGAAAATACAGTATTGCGCAGAGATTTAGGTATATAAGGACGAACGCTTCCTGTCGATACATCGCAGTAGAGTGAGATGGTATCATCAAATCGAACCTTTTGAAGTTTTAAAGATGTAGCTCCATGTAAAAGTCGTACCAGCTCAGGATCTGTTGCTTGATCATCTTCGATTTTAAATCATTTTATAATTAGATTATGCATTGTTATGGAGCATAATCTCGAGAAAGCATCTATCACTGCATTCTCAGATCCTTTCACATGTAAAATCTTAGTGCTGAATTGGGAAATATAAACCAAATGTCGAAGCTGTCTCGGCGATGCTTTCTTTGGTCGCTGTTGCATTGCGTATATGAGCGGCTTGTGATCAGTCTTGATCACAAAAATTCGTCTGTGCGCTGTTCTAAAACTGCTCCGATTGCGAAATCGGAAGCATCGCAAACCAGCTGGAGTTCAGATTTTGGTGCGGGAAAGGACAAGAGCGCAGCGTCAGCTACACTTCGTTTGCAAGCTTAAAATACAGAATTGAGTTTTGGTGACCACTCGATTTTACGTTGATCATTCTTCTTAACATTTTTTAGCAACTCAGTCAGCGGTGCTTGTATGTGTGTTGATCGAATCAAACATCTGCGATAGTAATTTCTAACGCCCAAGAAACGACCCGGGCGTGAATAATTTAAAATGGCATCTATGCGTTCGGTGGGTGGCTTAATTCCAAACTAGGAAATTTACTTGCGGCTGTGCAAACTGGCATTTGCTCAAGTTAATGCTTAAACCATGTTTCTGTAGAACTTCCAATACAGCTCGAAGATGTTCTTCGTATTCAGCCAGGGATTGCGACGTTATAAGTATGTCGTCGATATAGCAATAAACGAAGTCCTTGCCGCGGAAGATGTTGTCAATGAAACGTTGAAATGTTTGAGTCGCGTTTTTTAATCCAAACGGCATAAACTGAAACTCGATCAGTCCAAACGGGGTGCGCAAAACTGTTTTCTGGATATCGCTTTCTGCCATGGAAATTTGGTAATAGGCTTTAACCAAATCGAGTGTTTAGAAAAAAAATCTTCTTTCCTTGCAGTTGCTCAGTAAAGTCGTGTATATGGGCTATAGGATAGCGATCTGGAATTGTAATTAGATTCAACTTCCGATAATCTCCGCATGCCCGCCAGCCACCGTGTTTTTTGGTCACCATGTGTAATGGGCTGGACCAAGGACTTTTTGATGGCCGGTAAATACCTCGTTCAATCAAGAAGTATATTTTTTTTTGGCAATGGCAAGTTTTTCACCGGACAGGCGTCGTGATCTATCGGAAACTGGTACATCATTTGTTTCTAAATAATGACGGACGTCGTGTTGCGTGGATTTGTTGATCGATGGTCTTGTCACGTCGACAAATTCACTTAAAAGTTTTTGTTAAGATGTGTCCTCTCCCTGCCGGCGGCTCGGGGTCACAGAAATAAGGGGGTTCCGTCGTCGTACAAAACACTTTGAGTATTAAACAATATCGAGTGGGTTTTAAGTATATAACAAAGCAATCAAAAAAGATGGTAAAAATAACTCAGCTCCGTTCGCGTCGCGATGCAGTGCAGAATCAGACTGATTTGTCTCTCTCCCGCCAACAGCAGCGATAGCTCCCTTTGTCCAAACTCTCCGCAGGTATTGGGCACCGTGGCACCGTATAGTGTCCTCAGCGTCCTGAGCTGTACCTGGAATCTGGGAGGGGAAAGAAAAAGAAATTGTGTGCATAAGCGTGAGCGACTTGAGCTGTTTTGAGTGTTTGAATCGCGGATTAGGTTTCTATGATTCCTGCTCGGGCAAGAGTTGCTGGCCCGTTATTTGCTCGAGCTGCGAGTAGAGGGCCTTTTCCACCACCAGGCTGGCGTACTTCTGCTGCAGCTCCTTCTCGCGGTCCATCTGCTGACGCACTTCCTCCTGCAGCGACTCGAAGCGGCGCGGCACCGCGATGGCCAACCCCTACGAGGACATCTCGCAACTGGAGCTGTCCAGGGCCAAGCAGATGCTCGCCGAGGAAGCGGAACGTGGACAGCGCGACCGAGTTCTGCTCGATCTGGCCGTAAGTGTCCTGTGGCTGCTTGATCAGCACCTTGGCGCGCGCCTGGTAGTCACCGATGAGGATCTTGAGCTTCTTATCGATCTTGCCGCAACGCTTGGCCTCCTTCGCTATTTGGCGGCGGTTCGTCTTCATCCGCTTCTCGGCCGACTCCAGCCGGTCCTTCTTACTGGCCAGGTTGGCGCGGGTGTAGCGGTGCAGCTCAGCGTGTAACATGCGCTTCTTCACCACCTCCATTTTCTCGGCGAACTTCTGCTTGGCCCTGGCCAGCTCCAGTTGCGAGATGTTCTCGTAGGGGTTGGCTTTGAAGTAGCTCTGCAGCTGCTCCAGCTTGTGCTGTGACTGTACTGGCACGGGATCCTTCACAGAGTCGTAAGCCTGCATGGTGATCATCTGGCGCTTGATTAGCTCCTCGGCTTGCTGGCGCAGGATCTTGGTGTTCAGCTCCGTGGGGCGCGGCCGGCTGCGTTGGATCACCTGGGAGCGCTTCTCCAGTTCCCGCTTGGGGCGCACTTCCTGCTCGGCCAGTAGCCGAGCGTCTACGTCCGCCTGGTCCTCGACAGTCGCCTCCGAGCTGGTCTCCATCGCATCGCTGTCCTCCTTCATGTGGTGGTCCGTGTACGGGGCCGGTGTTCGCAGAGTGGCCGCCACATGCGGCGTGATGGAGTAGCCGGCCAGCAGGGCGTCCGTCGTCTCGATCCCGCCCTCGCCGGCTATCTCCTTGGCCATCTCGCTGGCGCGGCCCAGCATGACCTGCTGCAGCACCATGTCAGAGATCTGCGGCGTATGCAGGACCAGTTTGGAGCGCTTCCGCTCCAGCTCCATGTTCTGCAGCATGGCCGTGGGCACCTCGTTTTCCTTGCGCGGCTTCAGCTTCTGCCTGTAGCGCTTGCGCTCGCGCTCCTTCTTCTCGAACGGCGACGGGCTTCCTCCAGCTGCTTGTCGCGCGCCTTGCGCTGCGCCTTCTTGTTGTGGTCCAGGTACCTCTTGACTAAATGATGGCAACGGATCTGTGTGGGGCTGGTCGAGTCGGAGGCTTGACCTGAGAGAATCCATCCCAGCTGAGTCTGTTGAGCAATTGGATCCGAAGGACTTCCTTTCCGTGTACCGGACAGCATGATCTGCGCGATAAGGTCCACTCCCAAGATAAGTTCAAGCCTTTTCGAACAGTAATTCTCCGGATCCGCTAGTGGAAGTCCTTGAATGTGGGTCCATCGTTGTGGCGAGAAGCTTGATCAGGGCAGCAGCGAAGTGACCGTGTCCAAAACGTATGCCGAAGGGACGTCTAACGAGAAATGATTATTAGTACTTATCATAGAACCTTGAAGTTAACAATGTACTTGCTCCTGGAGCCAACCCCTTGGCCTACTCCGACAATGGACGTCCTCGCCATTGTCCGCCTGAGATGCAGGGATTGCACCACATGCTTGGATACGATGGTCGCCTCGGAGCCCTGATCGATGAGCGCCGTGATGACACATTGGAGCCCGTTGTCTGGATTCTGGACCGTGATGCGTGCTGTAGCCAAAAGTACATTTCCCACTCGATTAGAAAGCGATGAGCAAGTATAACATCGGTATGGCTCCGACTTTCCGTTGAGACTGATCAGAATTATTAGCCATCGAAGATCGCGACTGCGGTGACGGCGCCTGCGGAGCGATGGCGGGCTGAGCTGCACTCGGCAAGTGAAGCAGCTTATGATGACGCTAACCGCAAACCTAACACCCTTTGTTGCTGGTGCAGTGGAGAAGCGCATGAGCCATGCTGAGGCAGTTGATGCACAGCTTCGCCCTGCCCACAATCTCCTTGCGCCTCCACGCTTCCATAGCCAGAAACGCCGAACAACGGCGCAGAATGTGACCGCCGTTGCAATGATGACAACTTAAGCCAGGGCGTCCTGACTCGTCGCGCACGTTGTGCACTCGAACCCGGCGCATTGCATCTGAAGATCCGGGTCCAGGACTGAGGTCGTTCGACGAGCTTCGGTTTTCGATCGCATCCATGACCACTAGCCGGTCGTTCAGAAACGACTCCATATCGGCATAGGACGGAACGGTTGCCGTACTTCCTTGATGGTGCTCCCATGCGTTGAGTGTTTCCTTTGGGAGCCTGGAAGCCGCGTGATATGCCAGCCAATGGCGTGCCTCCCCTTCTAAGGCCTTGACGCGCTTGAAGGCGGCGAGACACACGTTGACGGTGCTGAGCATAGTCCAAAGCGCTTCCGATGACTCCTTTTGCAATTTCGCCAACGAAAAAATAGCGCTAATGTGATGAGCGAAGACCAGACGCGGGTTGTTGTAGCGCTTTAGCATCAGGGACCAAGCCAGCGGGAAGTTGGAGTCGGTGAGCTGCATTTGGCGCACGTCGTTATCGCGTCCGGCAGGGAGCGATTCTTTGACAAAATGCAGCTTTTGCATCCCGGTTAGCGACGGATTGTTGTATACAAGGCTGTTGAATGCATCAAAATAACCTGGCCAGTCCACGGCCGCACCTGAGAATTTCGGCACTGTCATTTGTGGCATGGTCATCCGAACTTCAGCAGTCGGTCCGACAGCTGCGGCTACAGTCGCGGTCTTAGATTCCACTGGCAAAAGCTTCTCTTGGTCCTCGGCGAAAAGGCAGTAGGCGTCCATATACCGCTCTTCAAATTCCGACTGAAAATGTTTGGTAGCATACGCCGATTCCGCATAGCCGGCAATGTTGACAACCTGCTCGTGAGCTGCCAAAAACGCACTATGCAATTCCTCTATTTGCTGAAAACGTTTTTTAAAATATACCAGCGTTTTTCTACTTGCCGGATCTTTCTTATAATTTTGCAAAATTGCCTTCAAAGCGTTGTGTCTGTCAACTTGGAGATTAATAAATTTATTTAAAGACAGGGAAGTTTCTGGTTCTGGATTCATGTTGACTAGTATTGACTAAATAAAACCTTCCCGTAAAAACCTTCACAACAATGCCGCTCAGCTATGACACAAAAAAAAAAACTGTTTCTTTCCTTACCCAAAATTTCAGCACAAAGCCAAAGCGAAGATAACAAACGCCGTCCCGGCGCCTGAGCGTAGATGAGCGCTTATCTTAAGCGGCGCTTAATAATATACCCGTCCGCTTTATTTGGGTTCGTCGAACCGAGCACTACACGAACTAATGGAGCTGGCGTCGCGCACTTCTAATGTCTTTTAGTTAGGCTTTGTAAATATATAATTAAATTGTTCACAATTTATTCATAAATGCTTGCAGACGGTCCCCTCATGGCCCACCATGTTAAGATATGTCCCCTCCTGCAGGCGGCTCGGGTTGTATTGTCGTACAAAACCCTTTGAGTATTAAACAATATAGCTTTAATATTTATTTTGCTTTCGAGTGGGTTTTAAGTATATAACAAAACTATCAAAAAAGAAGGTAAAAATAACGCAGTTCCGTTCACGTCGCGATGCAGTGCAGAATCAGACTGATTTGTCTCTCTCCCGCCAACAGCAGCGATAGCTCCCTTTGTCCAAACTCTCCGCAGGTATTGGGCACCGTGTGGCCAGATCGTGAATCTGAACACACACTGCACTGTGTAAACTAATATATGTTGCGCTTGTGCTAGACATGCGGGTGTTGAAATTCTAGTTAGCGAAACGATTAATCTTTGGTTTTTAGGATCGATGAGCAATTGAAATTTGCTCAAAAAGTGTCCCCCAATGATAGCTGTGTGCACATCGGTGATAATGAAAGGCCAGGTAAAGTTTCGGCGAAGATCTAAGTTCAGCTGAGTGACGTACTTTCCAGAAGTATGAACGACGGTCTGGTTCGCTGCGTACAGTGTCAAATCGTTTAGAGTGGTTTTTTGTCCAACCAGCGTTCGTGATATGAAGGAAATTACAGATCGTGAGTCGATGAGAAAGCGGATGTGAGATGAGCGATCGGTGATGTGTAGACGCTGTTCCTGAGGAGCAGCTTGCTGAACTGTGGGTTCGCTGGTTAAGTACTTGCTGCCGCCGACCAGCGTGTCGGACGTCAGCTCCTCTAGTTAAACGACGAGGAGCGGGAACATGGGGGCGGCATTTGTGGGCGTTTTCTCCAAATCGCTCGTGGTAGAAACTTAGCTTCTCTTGGGACTCGGAGGACTGGTAATTAGCATTTCCCGTTTGTGATTGGTTACGCGATGAGCTACGGGAGCGTCCTTGGAATTGGAGACGTTTGACATCCTTTTGTAATATATCAAGCTTTTGTGAAAGCAAACGCAGCTGCTCGTTGACTTTTTTTCAAGGATCTTCGGCAGAAGCAGCGCAAATGGATGGATTAGCAGCAGACGAAGTATTCGTGCTGATAGCGAAAGTAGCATAGTGGTTCACTGCTTCGAGCATTTTGTCTGCGATCTTGGCAAGCTAATCCAGATCGTTCTCTTCCCAGACGGTGAGGGTAGGATGAATTGATGCCGGCATCTCTGCCAGGAAAAGTGTGAGGGTAATGTTCTCGCTGCCCGAATCCGGAGCAAGTCGTCGCATGTTGTTCAAGATTTCAGATAATTTCAAACCAGATGTACCCCCACCCTGTAAAAGTCGGCGTAGTTTCGACTCTGGAGACTGAGCATATTTTTGTAACAAGCGATTTTTTATATACTTGTTTTCGTCAGGTGGTCGAATGACTAAGTCTTCCACAGCCAAAACCTCTTAGTTTTACAGATGAAGAGTAACAAGGTCGAACTTGTCGGTGTCGTCGACGATCTGGTGCAATCGGAATGAGCGCTCAACTTGCGCAAACCATAGCTAAGGGTTGCTATGTGCGAATTTTGGCAAGAGAACTGTCGTATGTGTGTGTGTGCGAGTAGTCTCATCTTGGTTACCAGAGACACTTGTCCGAAGTGCATCAAGTTGCTGCTGCAGATCACGGATTTGCGCAGTTAAATCAGGATTGGGATCCGGCATGATGAATGATGAGGAATCGGCTGGATCGACTTCTACGTCGAAATTTCTTCCTTTTATATTTCTTTAAATCACCACTATTGCGAAATGTATAATATATAATGTATAATACTTAGATAATTAGTAAGGCTTGCTTTTCTATATCTCGCTTCTTGAATCTCAACCGTCGTTGCCATCTCTCAATTCTTCCATCGAGGTTGCCAGGCTTTGGTTTGCACTGCAACCATATGAGGTTGCCACACATGTATAGCGAAGTATATTTGCCATTAAAGTTTATTGATAATAAGGATACATTTAACTTTGGAAGTTAGTAAAGCTCGCGTCGCTAGGTCACGCTTCTTGAAACTCAACCGATCAACTCATCGTTGCCAGATCTCCAGCCAGGTTAGCAGGCTCTAGTTGGCGCTGCAACCATATGAGGTTGCCACAGTACTCCCCCTCCAGTGAATGCGTCACGAATCTTGGTTTGAAAATCTTACTCGTCGTTCGTATGTCCTGGTGATTTTAGGGGTAGCTTCATCTGAATCCACTTGTCGATCATCCTTTACTAAAAATGCTGGCTTGAGGCGATCAACTGACACTGCAGTCTCATGACCATTGATTTTTATGGTAAAAACTCGATCGCTTTCGCGCCTGATAATTTCATAAGGACCAGTGTAAGGGTTTTCCAAAGGCTGCTTGACTGCGTCAGTGCGTAGAAATACATGAGTACCATTACACTGGTCAACAAAAAAAATAAAATCGTTTGTTTCCTTTAATTTTTTTTGTGTTTCTATCTCAAAATAACGTGTATTTTTTAAATATGGTAACAGTTTTTCTCTAACAGCTTTTGTTTTTGAGTTACAGCTAACTACCCTCCATTACTTTTGATAAGTCGTGGGGCGGGCAAGTTTTCAGGATTAAGTACAGAAAAATTAAAAGCTGGTATTTTTGATGGGCCACAGATCAGGCAACTCGTGAAAAATCCTAATTTTGTGAAATCAATGACTGAAGTCGAATCCAAAGCTTTGAAGTCATTCGTTTTGGTTATGAGTAATTTCCTAGGCAAAAGAAAACTCACAACCACGTCGAGCTTGTTGAGTCCATGCTATCGAACTTGCAAGAGTTGGGGTGCAACATGAGCATAAAAATCCACTTCCTGCACTCACA